AGTTTCTCGAGCAAAGCTCTCTACCTATTGAAAAACTGACAATCCAAATTCGAGATCATAATATGGGCTCAACACTAGATCAAGTTCAGGTTCAAGCTGTCTGATTCACAGATGAGCTGAGCTGGAGTTCGTTGTGACTCGAGCTCGACTCGGCTCATTTACAGCCCTAGCTATAACTAAGGAAGTGAGCAGTCCATTAAAGAGAAAAGTGGAACGAAGAAGAAAAGGCTAAATTTTTGTGATATGAATCTAATTTTAGTGAAATCCTCCAATAATCGGCTTCAGATCAAGGTTGGTAGGTGTTTTAGACTTGTATGAGAGGAGATTAATTTGAGGTAGAAAGTTATTTCAAAGTTAGTTGTACATAGAAATGAGTGATAAGTTAGGAAAATTTGTAAATTATGAAAATTCAGTTCATAGAATGCATGTAGAAGAACAAGATATTATGTTAACATTAACGAGAAAGTTTGTCTTGTCAATCATTAGTTTGGGTAAAATACTTAATTTATTTTCAATCTTTAGCATTTAAATTTATACGAATTTAGTTTCCATGCCTTGCAATCATTAGTTTGGGTAAAATACTTAATTTATTTTGAAACATTAGCATTTAAATTTATATGTATTTAATTTCCATGCAAGCAAGGCGATAAAAAATATTCAAACAGCAAAATGCATTAATATGTCCTACCATTCATGATTTTATGATCTTGCATTAATTTGAAAATATGTAAACACAAGTTTGAAGTATTACTAGTATTTTCAACATTTTATAAAAATGCTTATGTTAAAAAATAAAACAACTAGTACTGTTGATTTACATATTAATGCATAAAAGTGAATAACATATTTTAAATGAATGATGTATGTCTTTAAATGTTCAATAATAAAAATGAAATGAGCTTAAAAAAAAGACAATATTGTAAAAGATAAGTTGACTATGATATGTTATGATAACATGTACAAGCGGGTGACAAAAGTGAGCCTTATGGAGGTAAAAGGGCGTCTAAATAGTTAAATAACCATAATACTGGCTTCACTTAGGCTTTACAGAACTTCATGATATGGCCTTCATACTGGATATCAATTCTATAATTTGGTATGGGTATGAAACAGTCCACAATCTTATGATGACCAATGAACTTAGTGAAGCGGGTCTTGCTGGGTGGCCAGCTAAACTAGCCGGCCCTCATGAGGGTTAAAATTACCACATCTTTCCTCTCTCAATTTCCTATTCTACACACTTCCATAGAGCTAACTCCTTCCCCTTCTATTCATTTCCTATTTCTAGTCATTGCCTATTTCTCTTCCTTCCTCCTATAGTATATATATATATATATATATATATATATTGAAAAAAGCCCAAGGGCTAATATATTAAAAAGAAAAGATACAAATATGCTGTATGAGTGGGCCCAAAAATAGACACCCACCCCAGACGGTACAATACACACAAAAAAGTCAAAAAAAAGTACATATAAAATTAAAAAAAAACCAAAACCACCAGGGCGCGGAAAAGGTGAGGGTCATCCCAATTTAGTCTTGCCCCTGTCTCTAATTTTCGAAAAGGATCCAGCTAACAAATTGGTAAGGTGAGTACCATTACCCGAAGTAACTAAAGTATCATCCATAAGATTCATGAGTTCAAGTAGATCTTCATTCTTCTTCTTCTTTCAAGAGCTGTAAACATGTCATTCTTAATCCGAAGAATCAGTCTGATGAGGTGATAGAGCTGTAGCAAAAGCATTACCAACCGCAGTACCCATAATAGATTTTAGTATATGTGAAGTATGTGTTGCCTCTACACTGGATACTTCCTGAAGATGAGGAGCTGCGAGGTTCTCCTGATTATCAGTCTGAACACTATTCTTTGTAAGTAAATGTCATTCAGTATTGTTTTCTATGAGGTTTGAAGGTGTCAGCATCACATCAATCGTAGTAACTGTAACAGCAATGTCAGGGGGGTCCACAGGGGGCAACAGACACCTCCTGCTGGTAGAATCCTCCCCAGGTGGAACTAAAATGTTCTTTGTAAGTAAATGTCATTCAGTATTGTTTTCTATGAGGTTTGAAGGTGTCAACATCACATCAATCGCAGTAACTGTAACAACAATGTTAGGGGGGTCCACAGGGAGCAACAGACACCACCTGTCTGGTAGAATCCTCCCCAGGTGGAACTAAAATGTCCAGAGTTGTGGGGTTAGACCCATCTTTATTCACTTGAGCCGTAGATTTCAAATTATGATGGAGCTTATGACATTTATCAAAGGTATGCCCAAACATCTTACAGTGGGTACAATATGGATGTTTGTGTTTCAAGAAGATTTGTTGTCAATATCCATTATGAGTTGTGTTCAACCAGACTTCGGTAACATCATGTAAAGTAATATCCCTTTCTACAAGTATTATGGCCACAGAAGGTCTTGTTAGATTGAAAGTGGGTAGATCTAGCTTCATAGGTCCCCAAGGATGGCCCCAAAAGAGTAGAGAACCTGGTGATGAAAAAAGTGTAGCTTGAGACCAGGTAGACTAAACCATACAAATACAGTGAGAGTTTCATGATTTGGGTCGAAATCAGGAAACCACTTGAGTAACTTCATTGATTTGTCTGCAATATTAAGATATTTCTTAGAGAAAACTCAATTGTAGTCTTCAGTCACGGTTAGTTGAATCAACACATTTCCCTCATCCACGAGTCTCACTTTCCACATATCTACTAGTTTAAGATCATCAACGCTCTTTCTGATAACTTCCATAGGTGAGTGCCCCCACTGAAATTTTTCAATAAGAGCAAACTTGAATTTCTCCGTCAGGATTGAAATTTCTAAGTCAGAGAAAAAGATTGATGTTTTCTCACCTTTCTTACTTCCCTTCTTAACAAAAGATCAATCACATGTACCATCGTGGCAATCCTTATAGCTTTCCCCACTGAAATTTTTCAATAAGAGCAAACTTGAATATCTTCGTCAGGATTGAAATTTCTAAGTTAGAGAAAAAGATTGATGTTTTCTCACATTTCTTACTTCCCTTCTTAAAAAAAGATCAATCACTTGTACCATCGTGACAATCCTTATAGCTTTAGGGGAAGACAACCACGAACTCCACCTGAGGGTTACCCACCACGTGGGCAAAGGGGGCTTTGTTTGGTTCAACCAAAGAAGAAGGGAGTGCCATCAGAAAAGGGAGATCTGTCGGCGTTCACCTACTGCAAGGTCCCCTGCACGCAAACGAACGAAGCAATCGGGCAGGGAGAGGCGCAACGTCGAAACAGAACGACGCAGACGCAACAGACGTCGATGCAGACGCGAGCTGCAACAAAATCTGCGACAAAAACAAGACAGACACGAGCCGACGACGTCAAATAGACGCAGTAACGTCGGAAGGAAGCAGAGGATGAGGAGCAAGAGTCGACGAAACAAAGGCGAGGTGCGAGCCCTCTCCTTCGAGCGACAGAATCAAATGCGACGAAAATACAAAAGATATGAGATTAATTTGTTTTCATATATATTTATAATTATATATATATATATATATATATAGTTTTTGGTTGGCTTTTTTGTTTGGACAGCAGTCGACGTCCTCCATTTTTCCCCTTCGAGGGTTGTATCCCAGGGATTGGGTGGTTATCCAGTTGTATCTCTCTTCTAATGTGGTGATTATCTTTCTTCTATTCCCTTCCACATTGTTCTCTGTCACGGTACCTCACTGTAGTCGCCCGCAAACGGTACTCGAATTGTTGTTTCATGCAATCTTGAGCATAAAAACCCCCCTCCCCCTCCCCCTCCCCCTCCCTTCCATCATTGTTGTCGCCCAAACCGCACCTCCATCTTGTTGCAGCCCACCCACCACACCGCTGCCCGCCCAAGCCAGCCAGGGAACACCTCCTTCCTGTTGTTTTGTCGCTATCTACCCTGACTACTCGCTGACACCATCCAGGACAACAACCATACTTGTTGTCCCAGCATTTTCACACCTCCCGCTCACTGTCACTAGCATCCTTGGCTGCCGCCACCCCCACGCCCCCCCCACCATACATTTTGATCCACTTAGCCGCCCCTCCACCACCCTTGAGATATACATTAGTGGTGTTTGTTTGTGTCGCGTTATTGTATTTCTCCTTTCAAGTGTGTTGGTTGTACCTATTTATTTGCTTCAAGTAATAATATCAAAACTTTGCTAAAAAGAAAAACTAAGCCCTAGATAGACGGGGCCATTTGAAATATTTGAAAAAATTGAAAATTTACGTGCAAAATAACATTGCCAAGTAATATGTCTAATGTTCACAATATTTAGAATATGGTCACAAGTGAAAAAGCATGGAAAGCCTAAAATGAGATTAATGAGCAGAGTTATTTAATTATATTGAGGGAACAAAAAAATCAGACTTTGATATGAAAATGCTAAGACAAACATCTTCTGAATTGTTTGACTAATTATTAAGAAAGAGAATTTAGAAGATAAAATTCCGATAAGAAAGGAAAAATTTTAATAATGAAAAATTTGTTAGGTAAAATAAAAATTATCTAAATTTTTTATATCCCAATTTTTGCAACTCATATAGGCAGGATCGAACCCGTGGCCCCAGGGGTCTTACAAACTCTGTCGACAGAAGAGTAACAATAGACGACACACAAAAATGACTATATATATATATATATATATACATATATATATTAGTTTCAAGTATATTTGTACTTAAAAATTATTTTACCAGTTAAATCATTAGTCCAAACTTTACTTAATAATTCATGGAACAATTTTACTGTGTTGCAGCAATAAGTATATAAACATTTAAATCTACCTGCCAGGTTGATGATAAAAACGAGTGGCTATGATAATTGAATAAAGTAATATTAAAAGAAACATATATTTACTTATAATAAGTAAGAAATTAAAGCACTTAGCATTACCCTCATTCCCTTATCCCATGGCCGTGAGTAATATTAATGGACACATATATTTACTATATATAATGAGTAAGAGATTAAAGCACTTAAAATTACCCTCATTCCCTTATCCCATGGCCGTGAGTAGCAGTTGAGTGCAGGCAGTAAGCCATAAAAGAGAAAACCAAAAAAAAGAGAAGAAAAGGTTAATTTTGATTGGTAGAAATCAGATTTTCAATTTATCCAAAAATCAACTTTAGATGAAATTTGGCAGGGGTTAAGGCTTTTGTATGAGAGGAGATCAATTTGACGTAAAAGGCTATTTTGAGATTAAATTGATCTAGAAATAGGTCATAAGTAAGAAACAATTTTAAATTAAAAAAATTTACATCTCATAGATTATAGTTAGAAAAACAAGGTATTGCGATGATCATAAGGAAGAAATTTGTCCTATTATCAACCGTCGGTTGGGTATTATCGTTAATTTATCATTCAGGATGCAAACGTGCTTCAATCATTGCATTTTAACTTATATAGAGTAAAATTTGTATGCAGGCAAGGTATTAAGAAGTCTTCAAACTGCATGTGCAGACAATTTAGTTTAATGGTTGGGTGCTTTGTGTCCAACCACAAGGTATTGAGTTCATGGCCTAGCCAATACAAGTGTGTGCATGAATTAAAAATAAAAAGTCTTCATTCTGCAACTACAAAATGCATATTAAAATCCTACACGTCATGATTTTATGATCTCACATAATATTTAAAATAAGCAAATATTTGAAGTGCTAAGAGCATTTTTAACATTTTTATTAAAAAAAAAGTATAATAAAAGATATGATGCTTGTACTTCTTCATTACAAATTAATGAACAAAGCAAATTAGCATGTTCTAAATGAATGACAAGTAGTTAGATATTCAATAAATAAAATAAAATAAGCTTTAGAAAGATTATGTTATTTAGCATAAATTCACAATAATATGTTTATGATAACATGTACAAGCTGATGACAAAGGTGCACTTTTGTGGTAGCAAAAAGATGCACAAGTAAATCAATAGCTGTAAAATTGACTTTAACTTGGGCTCAATTAAACTTTATGATGTAACCTTTAGATAAGGTTGTCTGATAATTCTACTCATGGCGATCAATGAACTTAAATATTCATGCATGAGATACTTTAAGGCTGATAAAGAATCCGTTATGTGAATAATTAAATGAAGTAAACAGATGAAATCTGTTGTAATTAATTTAATATGTGAACACATGATTTGACCGGCATAGTACATATAATGTTTGGACATTTAACATATCTTTTAATTTTTTTTTCAAAAAGATTAGTTCACATATTAATTATAAAAAGTAATGTAATAGAATAATCTATAATTTTGTTTAATTGTTATGTCCAATTAATGATTAGCATATAATGTTGTTTAATGCATGAATATTTCAATCATATATCAGTATTGTTTATCTTGCTAAGCTTTATAGTTCACTAGAAATTACTCAAGCTACTATTTGAAGTTGAACAAAAGATAAAGTTGAGCCTAAGTGGGGTCCAGATGTTGAATCAATACAGTTTTGATGTAAAAAACAAAACATGATAAGGCAATAGATATGGTCAGAGTTTATTGTTATGAATGTAAACTCTGATGTTTATTAGAAACTCGTAGTTAGATAAAATATCTAGGAATGCTTCCACCAAACTGACTTAAAATAAATTATTGAATCACAGTTAGGAATCATATGTTAT